CCTTTCCTAATAATGTGCTAATTAGCAAGTTTCACGATGAATGCGGCTAAAGTAAACAGTCTCTCTGAGAGCAGCTCCGAAGAGAGGGGCGGGGTCAGCAGAGATCATTAACATTTAAAGGAAAATGACAAAAACAGCTTGATCTGAAAAGAGCATAAAAATTTTGACAGGGTAAAAAAAAAAAAAAAGGTGTTTTTTACACTATCATTGAGAAATTTTAACCAAACTATGTTACAGACTTTTCATTAAGACCCTAAAGAATCATATCAACTTGTGAAAAATGGGCATCCTATGACCCCTTTAAGATTTAACATTTGTAGATGGTCTAAAGCAAAAGAAAATGGTCTAAAGAAAATCTTTTAGAGCTTATGATTTGTATAAAAAATAAAACATATTACACATTAATGAATAAATCAGTATATATAAAATTATTTAATTTACAAGAGTCATGTTTGTGATTTTTTCCCCATGTAAGCTATAGCTTCTGACCTTTAAATCAAATCATACTCATTATTTTATGACATCAATTACTGCTTTATTTAATCAGAAACAGTCTAAATGTTATATGTGTAGACTATAGAGTGGGGGAACTATGACGTCACTTTGTAGGCGGATTGGCTGTTAGCATCACTGGTTCCCTCAACAAAAAGCCAATAGGCTTTTTCCATAGGCTTTTGGATTATCACAAAAAATAAGCTCGGTGTTCAACCATAGTTCATGAAACTTACACGTTTTGTCCATCAAGATAATCTTCACAAAATAACATAACTTTTATGAATTGTGAAGCCTAAATAAAAGTGCCAGAACTTAAAAGCTAAACTTAGGCTATAAACGATCTACAGCACCACGGTCGCTCGCCTTCAACGTCACCACCACCTGCTCCCGACAACTTTTTCAAACGTATTTTTAACACGTTCAGTGAAAATGATTTACTCTGTATATGAATTTTAATCCATGCTACATGAACCTTTTCATATAAACTGGAATAAATACAAAACGAGAGCCAAACTAAAACTGAAATGAGACATTAGTAATAAATAGTATAGTGAATAAATGAAATAATCATAATTAAAAGACATATGAAAGCACGTATCTCTGTACATTTCGAAATAAGGTGCATTAAAAGTCAATAAATCCTTGATTAATATGAATATTTTAATGAAAAATGAGTCTCCACCTACTATTTAATACGGTAAATGTGGTGTTTACATGGAATAATCGTAATATGAGTTTACCTTATGGTGCGAACCCAGAGTCTCCGCTGGGATACATCAGTAGGAAAGCGATAACAAGAGCATCTTCCATTTGAAGACTTGTGTTGCATTTCGGGGCAAAGAAAAAAAACATTGTCGAACAACAATATAAAATGCGGGAAACTATTAATTGGTTATTCTACAATAAATTGTACTACGATTGGAAAATACTGTAAATTGATCAACTGTTCGGCGTGATGTTTAATGTCTCCGACAGCGCCTGTAGTCCCATTTAGCAACCATCTTTTTTAAGAAACGTAACAGTTCGTAAAAAAATCACTAGTGGGGTGTAACTGGTGTGTTTTATGTCGTAGAATAAAACGCTAAAGTATCTTGAGCTTGTGTGAACCACGGACCTTATTTTAAGGGATTTAACCAAAATCCCATTAAAAAAACCCATTGACTCTGGGACGATGGAACCTGAAGTGCTAAAATGCTAACTCGCTTCTGGGCTTTTGCCTACAATGTGGCATCATAGTTCCACCACTCTAGTTTACTTTTAATTTAATTAGAAGTAGTCCAACAGTGCCACCTACAGATTAAAACTCCTTACCGAACAGGCGTTAGGACCTGGGGGAGGCTGTCACTGCTGCATGTGCTATTACGGTTTACAGCGATCCAAAAGAGTCAATCTAATCATCATTTAGACAAAACTTTGCTTCAAGAATGAGCCACACTGTTGACCTGATCTAATCACTAGCACACCCTGAGCACATGTGAATTAACATATTTCTCTTAGAGGCAAGACATATCGGCATAATTTTTCATATATGCTGATGCCGATATTTACATTTAAAGCCATTATCGGCAGGTTCCGATATCAATCTGATAATACTGTGCATCCCTAATAATTGTCTTTTAATCACCAACTAAGCAAGCCAAAGAAGACTGTGGCAAAGAACCCAAACTCCATTAGGTGACAGAAATGGAGGGAAAAAACCTTGGGAGAAATCAGTCTCAATCGAATGTCCAGTTCCCCTCTGACCAAGGACTAATCAGCACCTAGATGCAAAGATAGGACTGAGGGAGAAATGTTTGGGCTACTTACAAGCACTGAATCTACAGCAGGAAAGTCTTTAGTCCAGCTGACTGCTTCTCCAATCAGCTGCTTCCACACCAGCCCTGGTAAAGCCAGAACCTAAAGAATAAATATTATGAAATCTCATTCACTACAGAATGTTCAATTAACACAAAAGTCCCAATGCAATTACACGCAAGACCAGCACTCACTCACCAGAAAGTCTTTTCCGCGAAGAGCTGCACCCATTAGTTGCCCAATCCACTCAAACTTGTGGAATTCTCGGCATGAAGGATTTGGCACATAGAAGTCTCTGGCCTCTCCAGCCCCCTGATCCAAAAACGGTTTAATCATTATATTATGATAAGTTAATAACTACCTCGTCAGTTACATTAGAGTGAAGTCAAGTTAGTTGTTACCTGGTTAGAAGTTCGTGTGAAGAATGGAAGTGGCATGGGGCACTCTGATGAGCTGGGACAAAGCTCTTCAGACATGTCTGCCAGGCTGTCTCGAAAACCACCACCTATAAGACAGAAATCTCAGGTGAGGATACGGCGTTTTATTGCAGACATGAGAATTATTGTGGGCGTGAGGAAGCTTATCTCTGTATGACCTTGATCGATGATGCCTTCTGCAATGAATTTACACTCCCACCATTGGTCATATCGTGCTGGCCACCTATAAGAAAGAGAAAAATATTTGTGTCAATCATAACTAATGTGTTATGAAGCATTTTGACTATTTAAAAACAGCAAGTACTATAAAACAACTTCTGGAATTCTAAAAAAACAACTACCTGTAGTCCAGAGTCTTTTCATACTTGTCAGATGGCTTCAGACCCTCATACACCTGCATAAACAATAAAGAATATGGTAACACTTTATTTTGATGGTCCCTTTTGAACATTCTGTTGACAATAAGTAATGCTGCACCTACATGTCTACTAACTCTCATCAGATTATTAGTAGAGTGTTTGCTTAATATCTGCTAACTAGGGATGCAGCGATTAACCGGTTTCGCGATTAACCGCGCTTTAAAACGTCACGGTTAATTAATCGTAAAGGTTCCGCTAAACCGAGTGTTTCTGTTACACGGAACGGAACTGTAGCAGCTTTCACAAAACGAAAAAAGTTACACTAGCGGTGCACCAGCTTAAAATTACGTGCAAATCAGAGGCATGGAGGCCACTACATGTATTAGATGAACTGACAGAGGGACCAAACAGCGAAGCTTTATTTCCACCAGAGAAATGCCTGTCGATAGTGTGGGACCATTTTGGTTACACCAAGAATCACCAGGGTGTCATTTAAATATTGCTGTAAAAAACTGCTGCTAAAGAGCGAATACATAAGGGATAATGCATGGCTTGCTGTACATTTAACGATTTTAATGCACGACGTGAAGGCAAGAACCACCTGACGCGAAGCTACAGCTCGTTAGCTCCACATTCTGTCAGTGTATTCAGTAGGTGTAATGTATTGTAAGTTGCTTCAGAAGTATTGCAAGTATTACATACAACAATAATAAAACAGTGCATTGACACAAAAAAGGAAATTTACTTTTGTTACTTAAGTACTTTTAAAAGCAAGTACTCCTGTACTTTTACTTAAGTAAAAATCTGTCTTTACAACTTTTACTTGTAATGGAGTAATATTTGACCAGCAGTATCGGTACTTTCACTCAAGTAATGGAGTTGTGTACTTTGTCTGCCTTTGGTCAAGAGACACATGATCCTTCAGAAAATGATTATAATATACTGATTCGGTGGTCAAGAAACATTTCCTATTATCATCAATGTTGAGAACAGTTGTGCTGCTTAATTAAAGGGGTCATATGATGCGATTTCAATTTTTCCTTTCTCTTTGGAGATTACAAGCTCTTGGTGCATAAAGAAGAATGAGGAAACAGAAAAAAAAAAAGGTTTGGAACATAAATTCCTGATAGCAATGGCAGACAAGGGAAGAAGTAGGGCAGAAAGTACAAATTTCACATTGATAATTTAAGTAACTGATGTGAAAGATGAAGAACAACAACAACAACAACATGTACACGTACACGTATACTAGGCTTGCTGCGACGGTGTTTTCGGTTATACCGATGTTAAGCCGCAACACCGGTTATGTCATTTGCCTAACGCGGCACCGCCCCCTACCGTCGTTCTGATTTTTTTATAGTAACAAAAATAACTCAGCCTAGTTCAGTTAGAGGACAGACACTTTTAAAAACTAAACGCTCAATGCAGCGTGCCGAACCGTACGTGAACGACAGTGCACCACGGAGCAGGAATCAGATTTTATTTATCACGTGAGGAGAGTGAGTCGAGCTGACTGACAAGAGTGAGGTGAGAAAGACAAGACGATGGCAGAAGATTGTTTAGATAGGAAATGCAAAGGCGCCCATTAGGCAATATTTTAGATTTTGAAAAGCCTATTGACTGGAAGTTTTTTTAAACATTCGTTTCTTATTTATTTGTTTCCACAGTGTTTGCCGATTACTTTATTTAAACTTTGTGTATTTTATTTATTTTATTTTACATCAAGGTGTATATGCCATGCCTCCAAGCTTTCTTGTTCATTTAGCTAATAAACGTTCTATGTTTCTTATTTATTTGGTTCCACAGTGTTTGCTGATTTTCAGTTTTATATACCCATTTAAACTTTGTGTACCCCAAGTAATTTATTTTACTAGGCATATATGGTGTATTTTTATTCGTTTTATTAATAAAAGTTCTGAGTTTGACGTTGTTGTTGCTTGAATTGAGTCAATGCCGAATTGCCACTAATTTTAAAGTGAAAGAAAAACGCCTACAGCGCTTTTTCTAGCTATTTGAAAGCCAAGAAATCAGAGGAAAAGAGGGAAAACTCAAATGAACAATTGCTTGACACCGAATTATGTCACTTTGAAAGTGAAAGTAAAATGCGCACGGCACTTTCACAAGCCATTTGAAAGCGAAGAAAAGAGGGAAACTCAAACAAAACTAACACAACCCAACCTCACCCATACACAACATATACACAAACTATTCACTGAAGGTGTAGAGAATGGCACAAGATGAATTTGAGGTAGACAAGAGTACTAACTTTGATCTGGTTGAATGTTCCAAGGCTGTAGTCCCAAGCAGGCACCATATGAGGCAACAGACTGTCCAGGAGTGTGATAAACCTAGACGCAAAAAAACAATGAGAGCTTCCAAAAGCTCATATATACGACTTAAGTCACATATTGCTGGGCATTACCTCTGAATGACCAATGCGCGTCGATAGAGGACATCAGGGGGTGTGCCCTCCAACCTCGGGTAGCGCACTAAGTTGGGAGACTGGAACACATCTGCATTCAGGCCCACAAGACGATGGCAGAAGATTGTTTAGATAGGAAATGCAAAGGCGCCCATTAGGCAATATTTTAGATTTTGAAAAGCCTATTGACTGGAAGTTTTTTTAAACATTCGTTTCTTATTTATTTGTTTCCACAGTGTTTGCCGATTACTTTATTTAAACTTTGTGTATTTTATTTATTTTATTTTACATCAAGGTGTATATGCCATGCCTCCAAGCTTTCTTGTTCATTTTGCAAATAAACGTTCTATGTTTCTTATTTATTTGGTTCCACAGTGTTTGCTGATTTTCAGTTTTATATACCCATTTAAACTTTGTGTACCCCAAGTAATTTATTTTACTAGGCATATATGGTGTATTTTTATTCGTTTTATTAATAAAAGTTCTGAGTTTGACGTTGTTGTTGCTTGAATTGAGTCAATGCCGAATTGCCACTAATTTTAAAGTGAAAGAAAAACGCCTACAGCGCTTTTTCTAGCTATTTGAAAGCCAAGAAATCAGAGGAAAAGAGGGAAAACTCAAATGAACAATTGCTTGACACCGAATTATGTCACTTTGAAAGTGAAAGTAAAATGCGCACGGCACTTTCACAAGCCATTTGAAAGCGAAGAAAAGAGGGAAACTCAAACAAAACTAACACAACCCAACCTCACCCATACACAACATATACACAAACTATTCACTGAAGGTGTAGAGAATGGCACAAGATGAATTTGAGGTAGACAAGAGTACTAACTTTGATCTGGTTGAATGTTCCAAGGCTGTAGTCCCAAGCAGGCACCATATGAGGCAACAGACTGTCCAGGAGTGTGATAAACCTAGACGCAAAAAAACAATGAGAGCTTCCAAAAGCTCATATATACGACTTAAGTCACATATTGCTGGGCATTACCTCTGAATGACCAATGCGCGTCGATAGAGGACATCAGGGGGTGTGCCCTCCAACCTCGGGTAGCGCACTAAGTTGGGAGACTGGAATACGTCTGCATTCAGGCCCAAGTCACGCTCGCAGGACGATTTGATCTTTAGACTCCTGATCCGTACATCGATTCCCTCATCTACAGCAAAATATAATTACAGAAAATAAACATAAATCAAGATGACTGGTCCCGAGTCTGGCTTTCTCTTTCAGATGACAGCGCATGAATCTTACCTCTGCATTCCTCAATCCTTATCTCTATGACAGGCAAATGTGATGTCATGTCCTCCAGAACACAAACCTCTCCAATTAAGTTGCTGTGATAGAAATAAAGCCATAGTGTTGCAATATTCAGAATCTTTTTTTCTTTTCTTTTTTCAGAGGGAAAATATATACAGAGATCTGGACATACATAATTCCTCAGAAAAAATAAATAAATAAAATAAATGAAAGCACATACAGTATCTCACAGAAGTGAGTCCACCCCTCACATTTTTGTAAATATTTTATTATATCTTTTCATGTGACAACACTGAAGAAATGACACTTTGCTACAATGTAGTGAGTAGTGAGTGTACAGCTTGTATAACAGTGTAAATTTGCTGTCCCCTCAAAATAACTCAACACACAGCCATTAATGTCTAAACCGCTGGCCACAAAAGTGAGTACACCCCTAAGTGAAAATGTCCAAATTGGGCCCAATTAGCCATTTTCTCTCCCCGGTGTCATGTGACTCA